AAAAACAAAAGGAAAAAAAATTTTCTAAAAATGTTGAAAATGTCTTTGCCTCTTCAGGTTTTTTAAAAAAAAAAAAAAAAAAAAAAAAAAAAGTTCTTATTGATTTCCTCTAAATGCACCTGTTTGGCACTGTTTGTCCTGAATGATGGAGAATCAATACAGCAAAATGAAAACATGTTCATGTACACAAGTGCTCCAAAAAAAAAAAAAAAAAATAACTCCATTAAAAAGAATTTAAAAATCTCAAACAATCGAATCGTTTCATCTGTAAGCCACTAGTCGTGTAGATTTTGTAATCTGATGTTTGTCTTCCACTTTCCCAAAGGAAAAAGTAGTGAATATATAACTTATGCAGGGGTCTAATGTTAAGACCGCTCTTTGTATAGACACCTCAGCGAGCGTCTTGCAAAGAGTGCCGTGTAATTACAGCAGTTTCTACCTGCAGTGTTTAATACACTCTCTTACTGAGTCCTCTCCTCCCTGAGACACCCCCACGTCCCGGCGTACAGCTTGCACTCATTCTTTAAAAGCACTTAGCAAAAGAGGAAATTGCCAACAAATGATAGGATAAACATTATAAAAAGAAAGGACGACAACTAAATCATCAACTCTCAATACAAGGCTCCCTGCCCGGCACCTGAGGGCCATTATGAGCGAGTGGCTACAAAGAATAAGCCACTTTGTGTGTGTATGTGTGTGTGGAAGTGTGTGATTGTGTTTTCCTTTAAGAAACCCTGCAGTCTAATTGAGAATAAAGCCGGCCAGGAGCGAGGAGGGTGACATTTCTATCTCAGACGGGTGCGGTGACGGGCTGTATTACCACTGCGTTAATGACGCCGTTTACTGTTGCCTGTGGAGAGCCAACAGGATGTCGGAGGGGGTTTCATGCCTAATCTGGTCCCTCTGCATGTGCATGTGTGTGTGTGTGTGTGTGTGAGTGTGTGTACACTTTCACTTTAGATTTTGTGAAAGTGTACTCTGCTTTCAGGTGAGTCAAAGCCAGGTACAAGCATATGTTATTGACAATAACGCACACCCTTGATAACTTGAGTTTTTAATAGTGCTCCATAAATTTGCAAACTGACTTATATGCCTAGAGAGCATAGGGCAAATGTGTTGTCATTTCTTAATTTAATAAATAATGACAGAAAAGTAATTACATTTTCTAAAACATCGACGTCAGCACTCCAGGTGTCGCATCGGAAGCACACCTGATGCAGCAAATGAAACCACTGATTGGTTTTATCGGGCGTTCCTGAAACTACCACTGGTTTGCAAATTTGGGCTCTTAAGAAGTCAGCGCAGCGAGATAAATAACATTAAGACTGCCGCAGTCGTAGAAAGAGGTTTTCATGTTGAATTTCTATAAAGTCCTTATAACAACAGTTCCTGTGTAACATGTTTATTGCAAAAACATTTATTTTTGTCCCAATGTAGCTAATTTGAAGTGAAGAAGAACAAAATCAAAAAACATCATGAAAATGTAAAAACTCTCTAAGGAGTGTTCAGGAATGTGATAAACAGGAATTTAAGAGTTTTACTGCAGGGACTTTCAAGAAATGTCTGGATAGTGCAACATCCAGACTATCCATGTTATATGCTTTTTATAACATGGCATTTTATTGGTTACATATGCTTTTTAATAGTTTTATTGTATTCTTTAGTTTTGGAACGCATTCATATGGTTTGACTGATGAATAAAGAGGCCACATACCAAAATTGTTCACTTATATTTGATCATGATAATGCCGACCAAGCCATAAAGAAACAGGTACTGCTTTAGTTATGCATATATCTGGGTAATCCTATCAACAAAACTATCATTGTCATTACCTCTGTGCACACTTTCCAGGATAGTAAAAGTACTCCTGTCTGTCATCAGTCTCAAAGCCAAGGTTTTACTGGAACTGTTTTCCTCCCCACTGTTGCCGCATGCTTGCTTAAAGACAACAGCTGCAAACACAGCAACTTAGTGCAATCAGCTACTTACTTAGATAACGTTTACCAAATCGCATTTGATAATTTACTATCCTTAACTGTATTCTATAATATTTCAGAGTGAATCAAACTGTAAATAAACAGATCTAAATTGTATTAAAATGAACCGAACTGATTCAAACTACATTTGGATACCGTCCAATTACATTGCGTGTATTTGGGTTTGGTTTGGACCATTTTGTCTGTGCCTTGAGATGACCCTTGTTCTACATTGGCACAATCGACATGCTGCCTTTTGGCTTTAGGGAACAAATATGATACAAAGTTGTGTTGTTCCATCTCAAGATGAAGATAAAGACTGACTCTAATTTATCTAAAGAGAGACTCAAGTTTCTGTGTTTTCCTGAAACCAAAATATTCTTCTCACAAGCTGCATGTAACAGATCGAAAGAGCTGAGCACAGTCTCAGTTTATCTCCTTTCTTCTGGAAAAGTGACTAACTCTCTGTAAGTGATAAATTACTGGGCCTTTCTTTCAGTTTATAGAGCTGTGCTTCTCACTGTGGGAGCCATATTTTCGCCCCCTTTTCTCTGACCTGCTTAACTACCATGACACCCAGCTACTTTTCTCCTAAAAGCCGAGCAAAATCACCTCTCTCCTCTAGCTGAAAACACCATTAACTCTCTGACTCTAGGGTACAACTGAAGTGTGTGTGACTTAAGTGGAGATGGAGAGCCATATGGAGAGTTTTTCCTTTGGTCAGTGCTGAGCCTGCCCAGAGGGCATCAAGGGTCAGTCGCCTGAACAAACCCACTGTTACCACAGCTAAGAGGGCATGGTGGGGGGCAACGGAGGGGTTTGGAGAGGGAGCTGCCCTGCAGGCTATGAGCGCTACATTTCTCTGATGTCTTTGTGAGGCAGGGTCAGTTTAGCATGCTGATGTTGGGGGTCATCAGAGAACTTGAGTGGTGAACATGTGGAATAGCCGCACTGTGCCCAGAACAGCCACACAAGCAACATCTGTCAGGTTAGGATAAATGAACGCCTTTCATTAAAGCTGTTTTCCAGCCACACACACACACACACACATGCACGCACACACACACACTGTGTTTTTACCTGACCAACTCCTCGTTGTACAGCGACTTGGGCGACTCTCGTCCCAGGACGTAAACCTGACCCTTGAAGACAGACAGCTGGACCTTGCCCTCAACGTTTTCCTGAGACTTGGCTATGCAGTGTCGCACAAAGTCACATTCTGGACTGTACCAGAAGCCTGCGATGGAGACACAGCAGTGAGGGAAGTTGTTGCAAAGGGTTGATGTTTCTGATTTTAGTCAACGCCAACAAGCACAGAAAATAAAGCTGTTTTTGTAAGTATTAGGAATCACACAGGGAACATGGGCTAAATTATTAACAAGGCTGCAACTGACAACTATTTTAGTTATCAATTAATCTGTTGTCGATTATTATGATCGTTGATCGATTAACTGGATAGCAACAAATAGCACATTCTGCAGATTTTTCATTTAAGCCTCTTTTATACAAGATCAAAAATACATTAAAAATGCAAATAAATAATTAAATACCTTTTTTTAACATAAGAATGTAAAATAATTAGTGCCTAAAATGCAACAACAACATTCCTTTAGTGAATGCCTGATCATTTGTAGTAAAGGATGCATCTGAATCTGAAAGATATCAACATAAAAATGTGGAAAAACTCAACTCTTTCTGGTTGACTTAACATACTGTGTAGGACTGATTTGTTGGCTATTTTTTACAATTAATAAATGGATAGCAAAAGATGATTAATGGAAGTTTTTTTTTTTTTTTTTTACAGAATTTGATCCAGGTTGAAGGTAAAACAATGCCACTTTTGAGTTTTGAGTAGAACATATTTTAAAAAGTTTTTTTTAATTTTTATATTTATATTTATTTATATATTTATAGTCGTATTTTAAGTTTTTTAATTGCTGCTCTGAATGTGTTGTTTCAGGAATTGGCTTGAGTCAGTGTACTCAAGTTAATGATCAAATGATTACTAAATTAGCTGATTATTTCAACTATCTATTCATCATGATTAATCCAATTAGTCATCGCAGCCCTAATTACTAATTTGGGCTGTGAGATAAAACATGATACACCAGCGGTAATCAGTGGTCTGAAAAATTCAGGCTTAAAAGCTGTTTCCTTTAGCCCTTCCCCTACTCCAAAGAAACAATTGGGACTTTCCAATAGAAAAATAGAAACATTAACCTAAACCTACAAATATTTTGGGTGTTACTTCAACTTTATTGTGCAGCAGCATGAAGGATATACATAACTGCATAAAGAAGAATGCTGCTCCTTGAAAAACTCCAATTCAAGAAACATGAATTAGCTAAAGCAACATCTTTTATGTGATTCGTCTCCGTCTGTGTCTCTTCATCCCAGGCAAAGTCCACACACTCTTTTCTTCTCCGGCGTTTTGCAGACCTGAACCATCATCAGAGCCCAGGGACAGATGGGCGAGGGACGAGTCTATATATGCTCAGAGGTCAGGCACACCCCGCTCAGCAGGGGTCCTCCTCTCATCAGCACCCGACCTCCACCTCGTCGTCTGGCTATGTTCAAAGGCACAATGAGCTCCGGCTTTAATTTTCTCTGAAAATTAAAGTCCCAGGCAATCTTTATACATTTATACATTGATTTTACTTATGTATCTTGACTTATTTTGATGTAAATGCTTGTTCCGTCAATGTTATGGCTAAATGATTCTCTTTATGCTATAATATATGTTGAGATATGTTAAGATAATGCTTGAAAAGTAATGAATTTTTAATGTAAAGGTAATATAATAAAATAATTAGTTCATATTTTGTCCAATGTACAAACGTATGACATCATATACCTATAAAATCATAACCACACCCCATCATTTATTTCTATATTTTCAATGTACTTAGCACATATCTGGATACCTCATCATAGTCTGGGTAAATAGAGCTGTAAACAGATGCAGAGCAGGTGGATTGTTAACATAAGCTCCTCCACTACCAGCCGTCTGCAATCTGCAATTATTAATGATTTAAACCCACAATGGGTTTAATCTCTGCCCTGTTCCTGAACACAGCACCTCTACGTGTGTGCGCATGTGTGTGTGTGTGCGTGTGTGTCAGCGTTTGTCTCCACGTCTCTAGAGGGGATAACTGGAGCGGCCTAGCAGTCGGTCTGTAATGGCACTGATCCTATTATGTGGATGAAGGTGCAGACGACCTGGGACTCGGCAGAAGGGGGGATTAAGACACCTGAGACAAGAAAAGCTCACAAACATGTGCAAACACACTAACCGCGCAGTGGGTGTGTTTGCATTTGTACATGGCAAGTTTGCCTCTCACATCTGTATGCTAGAAATGAGAACTGGTGCACTGAAGGATGAGCTACTGTAGCACTTGCCGGACGCTTACCATTGTAGACAAGTTCTGAGAACTTGATGCCGAGTCCCTGTTTGATCCGTCGGACCTCTTTGTCCATGGTAAACGTCTCGATGTCCAGATGGGCTTTAAGCAAGAGCGTGCCTCCAGGAGTTTCGTATATCCCTGACAAAAAGAGAAAAAAATAAATTAATTGCATCAACTGGCAGAAGTTTTTATATTCATCTGAGTTTTTGACACAAAAAAATTACTGAGATTTTACGTGGTAGAAATTTTTTTTTTGCAAATTCTTCATCAGTTTTGCTACAGATTCTCAATAAAATCTGTACTTTTGAAAAGGACATTCTACCCTACTAATATGCTTTAATCTAAAACTGCCCTTTGTAGCTCCGGTGCTCTAAGTAGTTTTTAAGCACTACTTAGTTCAGCAGCATTGCCTGTATTTATAGAAACTGATCTTTTCATGCACCATGCTGCTGTTTACTGGTGACAGCATGATGCAGCATGATGCTGTCACCACTATATTTCACCATGGAGATATGTTTTTGGTGATGTGAAGTATTTTCTGCAACACATATTTTGCTTTCAGCCATTTTACACGTCCCCTATAGGTGCTGTGGCAAATTTTAAAGAAGACTTCTCGTGGTTTTCTTTAACCTCTCTGGACCGAACGTAGCGTCGACGATCCAGCCAAATTAACAGGACCGTAATTCCGCTACACTTTCTGCTATCTGAAAAATCCCAACTGTTTCTGAAAGGGGAGACGTTGCACTTTCCAGCCAGTCTCGGGTTATGGGCAAATATATTTACTCACAGGACATTTAAAGAAATTGGTACAATTAAAATAAGCAAAAATTTCCATGCGGAGATTTGAAATTTATAAAGGGGTAAAGACAACCTATCTTGTTTTCATTTGAAGCCATACTCTTCCATAAAAAGGCATTAGATACTGTTTTTTTTAGCTTCACCCACCTTAAACTTCATCACAACTTCATGCCTGATCTGTCTGGTTTGTTTACTAGTCTTTATGCTGCTGTTTGCTCACTAACGATCTCTAACAAAATTACACGGTTGGGCAATTGTTAGTACTGCAGCTTTGCAGCAAGACGGTGCTGCTTTCAAGCCAAATCATGGGGCCTCTATCTATGGAGTTGGCTTCCAGAAAACGAAGGAAGAATCAATTCAATTAGGCAATTTCTGAAGGCAATCTGTTGCACTGGACTTTATTTAGGGACATGACAGTAAGGGGGACTGAATACAAATGCATCTAATACTTTTTTTAAATTTATTTTTAAAGAATATTATTAACCTTCTAGTTCACAATTGTGCAACTTAGAATGCCCTTAAGTTTCTGACTGCAATGTGATTTAATGTGATAAAAAAAAAGGAACTTAGGAAATTATTCTGCCTGTAAGGAGATGCATGTCGGCTCCACTGTCCTGACACTCTTATCGAAGCTTTACCGTCATTATTTCAAGCTTTACCGTCATTATTTCATTCTTCAACAGCCATTTATGGGCCTCGTTCATTTAAGCAAAGGGCATCAAGCAGCTCTATTAGTCATTAGTGATGTGACTGACAGGCCCTCATAGAGCTCACAAATCATGAACAAGCTTGTCCAGGGTAAATGACAGGTTGGGAGGCCCCTGCCAGCCTGGAGTCTGGACCAGGGCCCCGAGTACCCTGCAATTTACCCCCTCCGGACATGGAGGGGTGGGGGGTGACAGGAGAAAAGATGAGGTACATGACAGGGGAAATGAAGCTGTCGTTTAAATGTCAGCTAAAACAAAAAGAGGGCAGAGGGAATACAGAAAGGCAGACTTGACAATGGAGACAAAAGAGAAATCTATGACCTCTACTTCTAAGAAGGATAAAATCTGGAGAAAGTGAGCGCCGTTCACTCATCAAATGCACCGTTCCTTACATATTCTGCAAATTTGACACACAGTTGGGTTTCTTGTAAGAATCCAAATCTTCAGAAGTAGCGTTTTGTTCCAATGCCCACAAAGGTTCCTCATCAGATTAGAGAAATGACTGGTGCAACAAGTAAACAAAACCAGCTTAGCAAAACTACTAATTGTTTAAAGCTTTAAAAGATCCCCATTTGAGCTGTAATGCTTTGGTGACTAGGCCGCAGAGAGGACGCCGGGACGTTTCCGCTGTCCCCAATCAGATAAGTTAAAACTGCCCTCAAACACAACTCAGATTAAGTGCTGCCAAAAAGAGCTAGCTTAACTGATTGCAGCCCATAATTGGACACTGTCCGGTTAAGCTTCTACAGTGGCGCTTTAGTCGGGCTTAAGGAGACGCGACCCTCTGTGGTTTCAGAGGTTTTAGTCTTTTATACGGCGGCTGCAGGTATGCTAACCACGATACATGGCTTCAGGGCAGGATTGAATTCTTCCTCAGCTGATCCCATCTGAGCAAAACACAAGTTTAAACAGGCAGCACATACAGTTCTCTGCAAAAATAAATCGCTTAAAGTTTTTCCACATTTGTCAAGTTACAGCCAGAAGAATCGATGTATTTTATTCAGGCTGTATATGAGAGACCAACATAGTTGTGCAGAACAGTAAAGCGTGAGGAAAATGGTCCTTGGTTTCCATTTTTTAAGGATATTTTAAAGTAGTAGCATGTGTTTGTTACCAGCCTCCTCAAACTGATGGCCCTAAATAAAAAGTGTTTGCAATCAAATCATCCTGAAGTAAAATAAGCTGGTGAGCAGTTTTAATCTCAAGTTGATCTGTGAAGATTTCGGAGGTTTCGAAGGAAAAAAACAACAACAAGCAACACAGTACATATGACAGTTTGGGTTCTACAATGATATCCGGCTGAACATTTTATATCAAATGTGATGTTGAATCTATTACCAGAAATATAAAAGTACAAAGTACCAAAAGATGGCCATCCAAAAAAATGATAGGCCAGACAAGACACACATTAACCAGTCTGATTCACAGCTTATTTTGGAGAATCTGTTGTCCGATTATTTGAACACTCTGTCCATATGAAGAACAGAAACTGAGAAGTGGTTCTCAGTCTGGGTCAGCTCCAGGAAATCTGGAAAAAACAACTGTGTCTCTACATGCAGATCATGGTAGAGACATACAAAAGCCTCGTAGACGCTATTATAGTTAAAGGTGGTTCTACAAAGTACTGACTGAATGCAAATGATTCAGATCTGTATTTGCATGCAACTCAATCCCTCCTTTTTCTCTCAATTCCCAATAACAACTTTGCTTTGCTGTACTGCATAACAAGCAAGCAAATGCATGAGGTTTTCTGGTTGCAAAATGACAAATGGTGGAAAGTTTCAAGGTTTCTTAATACTTTAATAAACAAAACTGTAAATAAAACGATCAAATATTTCAAGCAAGAAAAGTTTTCTGTGTCGACGTGTTTGACACGATGCCGCATGTTTATCAGGAGACGAAGAAGTCGTCTCCGTCTGCTTCTGAGGCCCTCATCGGAGCACAAGTCAGAGGTTTGACAACACCGTGACAGCTCGTTCGGCACACAGGTTGTCGAATGTTTTGCAGCACAGTGACAAGATTCCTGACAAACCATTTGAGTCCCATCCGCCTCTCTGACCCTGCACAAATAAATATGACCCAAACACAAATAAGTATGACATGTCCCCCTTTCAGTCCCTCCCATCATCTATTGTGCTCACACAACCTGCCACTCCAGAAGAGGCCAACCTATGCGCTCGATGGTAGTTATTCAACCACTTGGGCACCTTGTGCTCCACCTCTTCCTATTGCTCGCAAAGAGGAAACAGCTTTGATCTTTTGTTCAGCCGACGGGGAGAAAAGTGGGTTTCCCATTTTCCAATTTCTACCTGCCACGTTGTGCCGCGGTCACACTCGGCCGGCCAGTCAATTTGCCAATCACAGCGCATTGCGAGGTGGGGGGAGAGAGGAGCCCGTGTGTGTCCTCGTGGGCGCATCTTTGCAAAGTCAGGACTGCACACTGGCCTTGTATAACGGCTGCGCCGACACATGTAGAGACCCGACAAAGGAGCTTTAAGAGTTGATGGTTAATACCGCAGATAAACATTGTGGGCAAATAGGCAATCAACTGCGTATTTACGTGTATCCAGTGGAGCATCGTCAACAACATCCTCTTCTCAGTGTACTGTATGCAGTTTTTTGTAGCGTACAGACGACTGGAAATCACTACGACACCTTAATTCCTGGTGAACGAGAGGAAAAGATGTCTCCTGAGGAGTTTGTCATTCAGCCCGATTTTATGGAAGCAGCAGAGCGAGACGTTTAAAGCACTCATGTAAAATAACTGCAAAGTGCATGAAAGCCTGTAGATGTAGACAAGGAATACTGACAAAAAAAAAAAAATACTAGCAGTCCTGAACACTTACTGGCACCTAAGGTAAAGACGGGTAAAAAGCCACATTGGAAAGAAAAAAAATATATGAAAATCACCAATTCTGTTAATAATTTATAGTTTTTGCAAACAGGAGAGCACTTAGTGTTAGCTTATATTATTTCACAAGTTTGGGGGATACAAAATTTGCACAATCTCTGAAGTCCTGGGTCCTCTGTTAACCTCTCTTTTCTTCAGCTCAAATCACAGGCTTTCTACAATATTTACATCTGAAGACTGAGTTGTCCAAAACAGAACGCCGACTTAATGTCTGGTCGATTATTTAAGATTTTTCTGGTTCAAGTCCCCACAAGGCAAGGCGACTTTATCTACATAGCACCTTTCAGCCACAGACAACCCAAAATGCTTGTACAAAAACAGTTAAAAACAACATACAACAAAAGATTTAAAGAAAAAAAATTATATATTTTACTAGCAGAATCTAAGGAATTCTTACTGAAAATGTCCTGGTAATTTAATGTGTTTCCAAGGACTTTTAGAAGAAAAACAGACTCACACCATCACAGATCCTCCATTGTGCTTTTGCACACATTCTTCTGTTGTTTTTAGTACAAGTAAAAAATTATAAACAAATAAGAACATACATTTATTTTATTGTTGTTAGGGATGACATTAAAAATGACTTCATGCACTTGAATTAATAGCTATTTTTTTCAAAAACGGTTAGTGCATAAAAGGTTGATGCTGCACTCAAAAGATTAATAAGGATTTTTGTACAACTTATTACATGAGTGAAGTGAAGTGACGGATGCTCTTTTAGAGAAACTGCCTATTTACAAAAGTACAACCTGTTACATTTACCTTATCTTATTCATCTAGGTTTTTAGGGTCATCTTACTCTTTTTACAAACATTCCCAGATTGGCTTCTTTTTCTGTTTAATAAGGAATAGCATAGCTGAATCTTTTGTGTGTTTTCAAGAACTTGAAGTTAGACCTTGGATTGTATTTGCTTACAAAACCTGTTAAAGAACAAATTGTTTATATGTTAATCTCCAAAAAATGACACAGGATGTACTTTCTTTTGCCATGACTGCGCCAGAATGTGTAAAATTAGCAGATGCAGTAAGAATGGAATGAAAAAAAAAGACTAAACAAATCCAGATTTGAAAGATTTACCTCGTGACTTCATGCCGATGAAACGATTCTCTACGATATCAATGCGGCCCACTCCGTGTTTTCCTCTGAGAGAAAAGAGCAGGACACAATTATACACACCTTCCAGATCCAAATTGGTGAACCTAATGGAGAAATAAACTGCATTTCTCACTGACTACTTCTTGTTACTTGTTGGTAAAAACAAAAAAACAAAAAAAAACAAAAATCTGTCAGATGAACCACCTTAATTTATAGCATCAACCTCTGAACCAAGTTCAAATGGATGCATATTTTGAAGGTAAAGCACATTTTAACTGTTTCTACACTTAACACATCTGAAACCTAATGTTCATAACCTACGCAGTGCTTAAAATATAACAGGTATTTTTTGTACCTAAATTTTCTGAATATCAATTTCTAGAAAAATGTGCTGAAAGGAATAATGTGCAAAAGTAAAAATGCATAATCTTGGATATTTTATCGGACTACATCAAAGCGGTTTAAAATTACAGATCTATATATTATATGATTTAACATTAGAGTTTGGTCCGGTGACTCACCATAAGTTATGTAATCATAGAATTAATGCCAGTAGCAAAATAATTATAATAATAATAGTGAAGAAATCCAGAATTATTACTTTTAATACACAAAAGCGCTTACCCTATCTCATTGAGGTATGAGAAAATATCCAGCGGCGTTTCTTTGGATTTCCCTTCCTTCACATGCATCACCCTGACAGGAACTCCTACAGAAACAGGTTTTCACCGGCAGATAATTGACATAAGCAGGTCATTCAAAGCGAAAACTACAGTATATTTAGGTTTGGATTTGATTTATATCCTTATCAAAAAGTTGCAGAATCAAAACTTTCTCCATAAAATGCACATCCTTTAAAACTTACATGCTTTCTAAAACATAAAATATAACAGATTTGTCACCAACATTTGGTTAAGAATAATTGGTAGAAACAAAAAGAGAGGGATGCTTTTATCCATTGAAGCAAATAAAAAAAAATAGGGAATGAAATTGAAGCTAATATATTTATTTAATCATACTAAAAAAAATGACAAACAGAGGATAGATTATCCTGAAGATGTTGTTTTTTGGGTTTTTTTGTCTCAGAGAGATTACTGAATACCATCTAAAACTCAAAGCCTTTGCATATGCAACGGTGAGAAAGGCTAATAAATTCAAAAGCTCTCCTCATTTGAAGGCTGTGAAATTGTGGACCAGCCTCTACCTAATTCAATTACACAGCTTTGTTACCCATCCTCTGTTTAGCGCTGAGATTTTTGTCTCTTTTTCCACAGCATGTGCAGAAGACGCAACCGTCTGCAGATCCATCACCCTCCTGCCTTCAAACAGAACCTCACACACGGAGCAAATTCTTCCATAAAAAACAAAAACAAAACACTGAAGTTTACTCCACACACACTTCCTCTACAAAGCCACTTAAACCAAGTGCACATCAATCACTGTCACCGGCCTACTTAATCACGGCCCTCATTGAGCAGCAGGGGCCAAAGGTGGAGGTGGGGAAACAAACAGACGCGTGAAAAGAGTTTAAAGTCTAAACAAAGCAGAAATTTATGCTCTCCATGCCTAGATTAATGTTTTGGGTTTTTTTTTTTTTAAATTTTATTTCCAACTAAGCTTTCCTGGAATCAAAGTTTTAGACTTTGCTGACAGAATCAAAGAATGGATGGACAGTAGCTTTTAGGCCTACAGGTGAGCATCTTATGCTTGACCAGTGCTTTCTCGATGTTTTATCCAAATCTTGTGCTTTACTCCTTCAGATATCCAACAATCTGATAAACATCTCCAATAAATCAGCTGAACGTGGGAGTTTGGGGGCCGGCCTTTCATCCCTCCGCTCTCATTTTCCTCGCTCGGCTCAGGTTGGCCCGTCCGTCGTTCCCTTTAGCTGCTTTATTTTCAGTTTTTGCACCCTTAACAGTGCAGACAATGGGAGCAAAGACACAGTTGTAGGAAAAATTACAGCTTTACATTTTTCCTCTCTGTCTCTTTTTCGTCCACACTACTTCGGCATGACAGGAGGGAGGCATGAATTTAATTTTTCTCCTTAAAAAAAGAGTAATGGGGAATGGAGCGTTTGACGGAGGGGGGGGGGAGCAAAAGGTTCCTGTTGTTATATATTCTTTTTTAATCAGTGAGAAAACTTTGGTGAGAAAGGCAGCGATGAAAAGGTGGGAGGGGGGGGAATGAAACGAAACATTCTTTTGCTGATCTTGTGCTCAGAGGGAGGAGTGGGCTCGGGCCTTTGTGTGGACAACTAAAACAGCTTTTGTCATAGCGCGCTCAATAAAAGGCCCGGAGAATATGTGTGAAAATGGAGAGCAGGGCCGCTAGGAACCCGCGAAACCAGTCAAGGCTTTACTGGTGCATCACCGTTTTACAAAGGCACACCTCACCTCCAGCTGAACGGTCACAGTCCGGCCCGTTGTTAACTTTTTTCTACGGGAAGCTGGTAAAGGGAGACACATTGACACAGCAGCCTGGCATTTCCTTAGCTTCAGCGATTAGCACATTTTCTCACCATAACTCTCCGGCAAACTTTTGAACTTCCATAAAATTTGGATTACGGCTCGTAAAGCTGTCCATCAAACCTCACGAGATCTGAAGAGCCGATTGATGTTCTTGCACTTCTGCCACCCCGGGGATGAAGGAACATCTGTGCCACTCGCCCTCAGGCCTGGATGTGTCTTGCCATTTTCGCTCTGCACAAACATGTGACACTTTCCTGTGTTCAGGCCGGGGCCCTGCGGCCAGCGTCTCTTATGATCATTTCTCCGGGCCCTCTGGACTCAGAGTATAAACTGGAGTTAATGCTTCCGGCTTGCGGATTGGGCCCCGGGGCCAAACGGGGCTGTTTTAGGCCAAGTGATGGTGTAAGGGGTTAAGGATAAGTCTGGGTGGCCCCAAGTGGAAATAAAGTGCAGGGGGGTCAACTTTAAAGTGACAGTTATGACCATCTCCACTTTAACATCACAGAATGCCAAGATGAAGTGTTTCCTTCCTCACTTTGTTTCTCTGTTCTTGATTTTCTACAGGCAGGACATGATCTGTTGATATCTGACATATTCTGTCCTGCTTCTTGTTGTCACACTGGTTCTGTTTATTGATCTGACAGTAATCGGGTCTATCTGGTTTATTTGATTTGCTTCTACCTCACAAACCCACCAGATCGTTCAGTTCTTCTAAAGGCTCTTGTATTAGAATTAAAATATGGAATGAGCCTCCATATTTTAATGCTTGATACCATTTCAACTGCAATTTTTTTAAAAATATTGTTTTAGTTCAATTTAGATTTATAATCACACCTTATTTATATTTAATCACAAATGGGAGGTAACTTATGTTTCATCCTCTTTTATTTTTTGCATGGTTTTTGAATTTCAAGTATATGTTAAATTATTTATGGCTCTTATGTTTCTTTATAACAAATATGTTTTGGTGTTTTTACAATTTATATGATAATTTTAATCTATTTATTGGTTAATTAATCATACCTTTATCTACTCATTTTATCATTTCTTAGTGTAGATTTGTTTTTACCAACTGTAAAATTGGGATTTTATGTTACATTTGAGTATTTTAAAAGTTATCTACGAATGCAATCTTATTGGCTGAATGATTGGTGATGAAAATAAATAATGTCTTCATTTAGAAATGGTTATTTCTGATGCTAGATGTTTCCAACTCTACATCTGGGTGTTTTTTTATCTTTATTTTTTTAAGTTGAGATGTAAAAAAAACCCCCTGATTTTCTGGGAAGTCAGCAGGTGGGACACTGATAAACATACAAACCGTTTTTAAACTCTATCTCCAGAACATCGGGGACATTTGGAGAATCCTCTGGGTTTTTGGTCATCAGGTAGAGGTCGGCTGGAGCATGGCTCTGAAGAACAAACAGAACCACAACTTTTACGATCTTCATTCCCCCTGATTAGTAACACAGAGATTCTTGTCAGGACGACAGCACAGCGACTGAAGTAGGAGGAGAAAACAGACAGGAAGTAAAGCAACTGAGAGAACAATGCGTGAAAAAGGTACCATCCTGAAAACAACATCAAGAGCACAGGGGAGACAAAAGTGCAATTTTTATCCTCTGTTTGGTTTCATTTTCTCCGGGAAGCCCTTCTCTGCAGGGGGAAGGAAAGGAAAAGTGAAATGAAGAGTGGGATAGCTGTCGACGCATCTTCCAGTTTTCCAGCTCTGATTTTCTGAGTGACGTTTCTCCTCGGATTCATTTTCAGGAGATTCTTCCTAAATGGGCATCACACAACAACAAACATCTAAAAACCAAATCCCACTGAAGGCGATTGTGGTTGACAGACATTTGTCGTTTTTTTTTTGTTTTTTTTTCCAGTTGGCTGCTAAGTGATTTCAGTGAGTCGCGGTTTGGACCTAAAGGAGCACGGTGGTGTGACGATTCCACCCGGCTGATGTGCTCCTGCGACAATTACACCGCATTAGGACAAGACGATGGTCAATGTCTCCTGAGCTGAGGCAAATTGCAGGGGGGGGGATGGGGGGGAGGAAGCTATGCAAAATAACTGCTGGGTGCATTTAAATGGAAAGCTTTACCAGACTCGAAATGATCATACAATAACTAATCGGCATCCGCTCGGCGCCTGTCAGCGAGGGGAAAACGAGCAGCGCAATCACTTTCCTTCCTTTTAACTAAACACAAAAATTGAGAGAGAAGGCGAGCGTCTCCCTCTCCTTTATTTTCTGCTCCAGTGCCCTGAAAGATGCCAAATGAGAGTTTGCAGGAGAGGGACAAAATGACTACTCTAAAAAGCCTTTTGATGCTCCCTCTTTAAGGGAGGGTGGAATAAATACTTTTGGGGGGCTTTTTCAACCTTCAGATACAAAGCGCTGTTGGTTGAAACAATATGCTTGAGCAAAAATAAATACATAAACAAAGACAAGAAAAGCTCTTTATTTTCGGCTTAAATCAGATGGTTTTTTTTTTAATTCAACATTTTAATGCATCTTTGTCAAATTTCTGATGCACATAAATTAAATGAAGCCTAGGAAAGCCCACAAAAAAAAACAAAAAAAAAAAACAGATGAGATTACATTTTTGATGTACACACACTACAATGTGTGAAAACTCATCCGTGCTCCGGCAGCAAGAGTTTAAACTTCCTGAAAGCAACGCAAAGAAAAGAACGTAAGCCAATAGGGTTGTTTCTAGTGAGCAGGAGATCAATGCATTTCAATTCAAACCCCCTGCAGGTGGACCTGTCCCAAAGCCGTTGCCCTGAAAGAGAGGCAAAGGTAAAGATGGAGAAGGCGGGGGGCCAGGGGTATTGGTGAGAAATGGGGCGTGAAGCGCACCATCATGTAGCGCTGAGCAGCTCCTTTGGCTGCCTTTGCCTCGGCGATATTGTTGTGCTAAATGTGGCCCCATACAGCAAGAGAATAATAAAAAAAAAGAAGGCTGACGCATGAACTTAAAGCAAGTAAATTTCTATTTTTCCACTTATTAGTTGCCTCATTGGGTTTCAATCAAAGCCAAAAGGGCCCCGAAGGAGGCAGTGGTAGGAGTAGGAGTGGAAAGCGGGGAAGAGGGGCATCTTCGGTGCACCAGATTGGAAGTGATGCTTAAATCACCATGTCTCAAGTCGGCACGTCTTATCAAAATGCAAACACAGCAATCTGAGCCGAGAATAAAACAATACGCATGTAATCTGCAGGAGACGGGATTTCTATTCTCTAGCACATACGATGTGTCCGTCAGTTTTAATGAAGACAGCGGCGGAGGCCGAGTTGGACGCGGAGATCTCTTCACAGGTCAAGCCCATCAGGCCTGAGGGCAGCGAGGGCACACGGCAAGCTCTGACCTCTCTGCTTCAAAGCACACATTCACATGTAGACACACACACACGCACACACACACACACACACACACACACACACACCTACAAGCTCATTTCCTACCCCCACAGGCTCTGCGCTGACCATCCATCTTACCAGAAGGCCGCATGACCAGCAGCAAACAAGTTTTCATTTCCTCTCAGTGAGATGAGGCTCTGCGCTTTGCTCCCTTGGCTCTGAGTCAACACGAGCAGCGGCTCATCGCCTCCCGGATCAAAGAGCCCAGTGAGATCGGGGAAGCTCACCGGTGACAGAGGTTGTAATTAAGACTGAAGTTACGTTTTAATGAGTCAGGATGAGTGTCGGGCATCCTGAGGATGGGCTCTGGGTGCTCATGTGTGGAGGGAAGGGATGAGCGAAGAAATGTAAAAATTTAAGCTATTACCTAAGAAATTATTGGAAACTCAAAAAAACATTTTTTTAGCTTTGATATGGGGTAAATGTTTGAAAAATCCAGAATAAGAGACAAAAATATAGTTTTTAAAATACCTATAAATAAAATAACCGCTTCTTAAATCTGTAATTTAGATTACCTTGCAAAACTTTATTTTCATCCTGATGTATTTTCGGGAGGATTTTACATTATAGGCCAACAAAAAGTAATGCACTTTTTGTAATTTAAGTAAATTTCTACTCAGTCCTCAAAACCTTGTACTGCAGTTTGGCGCAATTACAGATCCAACTCTTTTGAGGTACGTTTCATCTATAAACTGGAATCTTTGCCAGTTTTTATTTGCAAACTGTAATATTACAAGAAAGAAATGCTACTTAAAAATATCTAAATCATCCGGAAAACAATGTACCATTTCTTTCCATTTCATAAACAATATATGCACTACTTTATGTTAGTCCGTCACATTAAAGCTCAGTAGAATCCATTAAAGTTTGCAATTGTAACATGACAAAATGTGAATATATTTAAGATTATGAACGCTTTTGCATCAGATTGTTGCATCTTCTAAGCCAACCAACCATAACCTCAAATGATTTAATAAGAAATACTCACCTAATGCAGTTATCAGGTGCACAGCAAATGGATGAAATAACACAATAACAACCTGTCAAAGCAGCATTGCTTCACACAGGTTAATGCTGCCAGATGCAAATGAGTAAATAAAGGCCTTAAGGTCACTGTGTCAGAAAAGAACAAGGTTTGGGGTTATCAGGAAGGATACGTTGTTAATAACAGAGTAACCTGAACTCTCCTGGCTCCTATCTGCAGGAAAACATATGAGCGACCATTCGGACATTTCCTAATGTGACAGCACTGAGCAAAGAGGGACCATTGTGTTACAGGTGGGGGCAAAGGGGGACATTTGAATGGTCCGGGTCTGGCCTTAGCCTTTGGGGTTGTAATTGAAGGAGGGACAGAGGCTGATACACAGTGGAGATACTGAGAACAAGCAGACCTCTCTTAGATGACTTCTTAGATTGATCACAATCTGACATGTTAGTTTAGGAATTCAAATGTGTTGCTGTTTCATTTGTTAATTTTGGGTAAATTGAAATAAATCTTGTATTCCAGGAAAAAAACAAAAAAACACCTGGAATATAAGGATGAAGGTAGTGCGCAAAACTCCAATGTAAGATTAAATGTAAGATAAAGTGCAATAATAATAATAAAAAAAGAATAGACAGAACTCCACCACCTTCTCTTGAAAAACAATATTCAGTGAAAACAATTCGGTCAGTAAAAATTGAATCACTGTCATGATTCATGACACGGTTTTGGTCAAGTTTCAATGTTGAAACAAACTGTGTCAATTAACCTCATAAATCTTTTTGGTTTACAGAGGAATTCATGGTCTATTTAATGACGGCAAATTGAAATGGTTCTGTGTGGCAGCAGACCTAGTCCAAATCATCACCCCTCCACCACCATGCTCGACAACTAGTTTAAGTGTTTGTGCTGATATTCCGTGGTTGGCATTTGTTGTGATTTTTGTACATTAGATTTTAATAATCTGCTTAATTTGTGTAAGAGTTTGGATTTTTATTTACAGTTGAAACAAGATAATACATTTAGTCAAAGACTGACTTTTTAAACCTCAAGCTACTTTGTAGCTAATCTGGTGGTATACTTAGGATTATCGTAATATGTTTTTTGCAAACCTTTAATAGTTATGGCTTCTTCCAAGTTTAGTGGTATTTCAGCTGCTGCTTGAAGTGTTGCTTTAAAATGGTGTACCCCAATTAACCTCAATATCATTTAGCCTAACATTAGCTTACAAATCTGCAACAGCATCATCTGGATATTCCCAAATAGTTTAAAGTCATGGTGATCCAGGGGTATGTAGACATGTGAGCTTGATAAAATTATTGTAAAAGAAAAAAAAAATCACTCGTTCATTATTTAGCTACTTAGAAATAATGTTTGCAATTGAGCCTGGACCAAAAAAGGGGACAGGTTAGACAGTTTAATATCAGATAAGAAAAAGCATTGTGTGTTTTTTACATCTGGTTTCAGCTGTACTTGTAATCCAGAAACCGCTTCACTTAATAAACATAAACATAGATATAGAATGTAAATAGAGGGCCTGGAGGTTGTGGCTACATAAATTAGCAGAAATATTAAACATGTTTCAAAGCTCCAGTAATGTATTCAAATCCTTTTACCACTTCAGACCTCTGCACCATAAATATTTCATTGTATTTAATGCTATTAATCGATTCAGTATTGGAGTAAATGGTCCAAAGCAAAGCCCTTGAATGAAATCAGTTACAGAGCGCTGTCATCATACATCGCTATGCTATTGAGCCGGCCCGCCTCATTCATTTCAAAACATTTCTCCACAGGACGGCTAAAGGACAGGGCACTAAAGACGAAGTGAAGGGGTGGGAAAGGGGCAGCGAGGGAGATAGAGGTCTGTGAGTTACAGTGGCCCTGCCCCTGAATCTCCTCTCCAGCAGAGCGGGACCCCTCTCCTCGCTACGACACTCTGTGCATCGGGGACTCATCTGTCTGGCAAACTGTCTTTGTACTTAACTGTTACTGGTGACATTTTGGTGTCACGGTGTCAAGATGAAGTGGCTCCCCTCCCACGTCGCAGCCTGCGGCAGCGCGGCCGTCCAGACAATGAGGTCCCGAGGAGCTGGGGCTGGAACTCAGGAGGCCCCATCTGGGCGCAACGCCCTAACCCTTCCCCCCTCCCAGGCTCCCATGAAATCGGGAATTAGTCGAAGCGTTGCTGACGACAAGTCAGTGTCTGTGTGTCCCAGGTTCTTCCCAGGGCCCGGCGAGAACCCGGGGGTGAGGAGAGACGCAGACGCAGACATATCGACCATAGGACGGGAGCTTCGGAGGTCAGTCAGCGGGAAAACAGTGCACATTGCACTGACCTCTCACCTCTGACAGAGATCAGACTCATGTCTCGCTCATGGTTCTGTGGTCGAGTCAGCCGAGCTTGGGTCATCAGAAGGTGGAGAAGTTTTACTGGTCTGTGCAACAATGCTTGGCGTATTCAACTTCTGAAAAGGATTTAATATCGTCCCTCTATCGTGGTTTATACTTGAGAAAATGGACTAAAAGATCACCATAACATCCATCCAGTTAGGTGTGGGTGTGCTTTTCATGTTTGACATTCATGTTCACATTAACCTGAGCAGCCTATTTTCGAAAATGTCCTCCAGCGTGTTGGAAAAGTGACCCTGATTTATTAGGAGACAACAGATTCAGGAGGAGCAGTGTGGATTTTGTCCTCCAGAACCGACGTCCAATGTTGTTGCCATGGGAGTTCGTCTGTCCAGTCTACTGCATGAATCTATTGAAGGGTTATGACCATGTCCCAAAAGGGCTTTTGTTGGGCGTGCTGCAGGTGTTCAAGGTGCTGGGAATGCTTTTAAACTCAATGTTAGAAAAACCAAAGGTCAAGCTTGATCTCAGTGCAGGTTGGACTCTGGACCTGATCTCAAGTGGCGAAGAGAATGTCAAGTTTTTGAACCTCATCCTTGCTTTTTGCAGATGATGTTATTCTCTTGGCATCTTAAAACCATAACCTTTAGCACTAGAGTGGAGCACAGCCGAGTGTGAAGCCACAAAGATGAGAGTCAACACCTCGATGTTTGAGGTCCTGGTTTTTAACTGGAAAAAGTTGGAGTGCGCCCTCTGGGTTGCAGATCAGTATCTTACTCAAGTTAAGCTGATGTCTTGTTTAGGAGTAAACAAGAGAAGGATAAATGGAGTGGGGGCATTAAAGTAGATTTATTGCTTCTTCGTGTTGAAAGAAGTCAGTTGAGGTTCTGGCATCTCAATTTGATGCTTTCTGGAAGTCCTTAAGGTTTCCAATTATATTCCCCTGGAAGGAGACCCAGGGGAAGAGCTAGAGCCCACTGGAAGGAAACTTTATCTCTTTTGTCCTGGGAATGTCTTGGGAGCCCCAAAATATAAACTGGAGAGTGTCTTTGACAAGAGCGATGTCTGGATTTCCATCCAGGACCTGCTACTTACAGGATCCAGTATCAGACATGCAGAAAACAATGACTGGATGTATAAACGAATGAATTTAAATTAAAACTGACCCCAGATTCCATCAAGGTGAAATAAAATAATAAACATTTTAAAAATAGTTAACAGATTGTGCAAATTTTGGGGCTTGGTTTTAAGGGTGCGTTTGATTGATCAGATTTGGTTACAGAAGATGCTTTAATTGTGGTATAAAACACTAAGCTCATAAATATACTTCGTGCACTGTCAGCAAATACTATACTGCAAAATCAACTCAGTAAGGCCTTGTGAATATATTGGTATCCCAGAATTATCATAAAAGTTTTAGAAATTATTCAACTTCCCTGTAATCAAATCGCAAAACAGTGATGAAATAAGGGTTAAAGGTCTTTCTGATCAACATCAGCAACAACTTACCTTGGGATTCTCCAAAATGCCTGATTCATAGCTGTAAAGAGATACAATTTAAGAATTTGTTATGTTTTATTTTTAACAGAAAAAAAAAAAACATACGAGAGTGTACTGTACATTAGTCGTCCTCACCTGATATGCATGAGATTGGCGTCCATGCTCCAGGGGGCCCGAGGAGTGACCGGCACTGGGATGCCATGTTTCTGTGATTTAACAAAATCGCTGATATGTTACATAGCAGAAAACAACTTGAGAAAGACGATAAACACATATGTGTGAAGAGGTACTGGAAAAACAAATTCAAGCAGCAGATTTCCCCGCACGCTGTGAAACCTCTGAATCCTTTGGTCCTCCAAAGCTAAAACGGCAAAACACTGACAATATGTTTTAGCATATTGGTAAAAAAAAAAAAAAAAAGGAGAGATACAGAGAGAGGGAGAGAGAGGGAGAGAAAGAGAGAGAGAGACAAAATATATATATTTTCAAGGCTGTATTATATCACTAAGGGGCCACATGCAAGCAGAAAATAAATGTTTACTAAAAACATCTTGATCGCCCTCTAGTGGAGGAAACTGCCCAGGATGAACCAACTGGACAAATGGGCAGAGGAGTTTGTTATGGTGAAAATTAAAACAAGGTATAAATCTGAAGCTAAAAAATGTTAAATGAATGAAATTAGAATACAAATGGGAAAAAAAATAGTGCATCATTGGTGGGGGAAAAAAAAGCTGCTGGAGTTAAAAGAGATAGAAAGTGGAAAAGCAATTGAACGAAATATAAAGAGCTATTGCTGAGTATGTAGAAGTTATAAATCTATGACAGCAACAGAGAAGAAATACAGCATGAACTGATCTTCTAAATGTTTCTAATTTCACAAAGCAACATATTTATGACATTAAAAGGTATATTAGTGACCTGGTAATAAGGTAAAAATTAACTTTAAAACTAAACCTTTTACCTTCTGCAAACAGGAGCATTTCATCTCAAAATACGAAACTAAAACATCTTTGAGTTGACAGACTCATCAGTAAGAAATGTGAAATCCTTATTTCTACACTGGCAATGAGAAAGACGGCTGTAGTTACCTGTGCGTACTCCATCAGGTCTGTTCTCCCCCTGAAGCGAGTGTAAAATTCAGGGATCCTCCACGGTGCAATGATCTGATAAAAAACACAAACACACAGTTGTTGTGATAGTATTCTGCATGTTAGGCCATTTTTGTCCTATGTAAAAAAAATCAGAGCACCAAACTAACCTTGACCTCTGGGTACAGAGCGTAGCACGTGAGCTCAAAGCGTATCTGGTCATTTCCCTAAAAGGTAGAAAACTGGTTTTATCTCTGTCAGTCAGCAGTTTGGTATAACTGTTCTGCATAGTATTTTTGATAAATACTTTAAAAAAATCTGCTTCATATTTGGTCAATAAAATTAGACAAAACAGTTAAAGACAAACGCAAAATCCCCACAATTTCACACATTTGCTTCACTTCTTTGAGTGGCCAGTTCTGTACAACCACTGATGGTGATGAACATAAACTAGGCAGAAAGATCTAAAAGACCTTGAAATAACAAAGAAATCACAATAATTTATGACAACAACAAGCGGTAAAAATTTGATTTTATATTTAAAAAAAAAATAAGTACAGTGCTATCCACATTTATCAAGCAATTGTAAAACAAGTTAGCAAGCTTTACAGTTTTACAAATTTACATTTCCGATGGTAGGACAAAAAAAGAGGTTTTTCATGCATGCCTCCAAAGCACCTTTTAAGCATGTTGACTAATTGTTGTCATGGTGACTTGGTGACACCAAGAAGCCACTTTTTGCTGCAGATTTGTTCTCCTCATTGCCACCCTGCTCACTGTAAATTGCCAAGATGAACATGAACTTTTGTCCATTCTTGTGGTCCAGTTTTTTTTTAAAGTTTAATTATTGCTCTGCCTGAAAATAGACAAGTATCAATTTATTATAGCCATCTCCTCACTTTCAGAGATCAGTATGTTCTCTTGTATTTATTATTTTCAGTAGTGTGCAACATATGGGCTAACAAAATAAAATTTATAAATGTCTTAAGACATAAGTATGAATTTCAAAACATTCTTAAGATACATACAGTATATTTTAGAATGGTGTCTATCTGATGATATTGTTAAAATTCTATCTTAACTTTTTCTATAGTTTTTAGTTTGAGATGGTTTCATAGCATGGCAAAAAAAAAAGGTTGCCTAATACTTCCAGCTGATCTGATTATCGTGAAACAATTCAGCTCTAAATTGTTACAGGATAAAGTAAATAGGTGATATTTTCTATGCTTACTCAAAGAAGCATGATTGATTTTTGTCCAAACATTATTTATCTACATCTAGTTAGTTAGTTTGGAAATTTGGCTCCACCTACTGGTCAGAAAAGGACTCACAAAAAGAATCAAAAAAATAAAACTTTTTGCAAGAGTTTTAATTTCAAATGGACAATTATACTGAACGGATTAGGATAAATAACTTTGAGTCACATCGGCTGATCCAATATTTTTTTCAAAATGAGCAACTTTTTTTTTTCTTTTACCAAAGCATCTCAAATAACATCATTGTAATAACTGTATTTACAGACTTTTATAAATTCCAGGTCTGCTTACAAGAGATTGACAAACTTTCACCTCATTTTCTGCTGATTTATCCAAATCTGCATATTTATGACTTCCAAACGCCAGTCAGAACAAATATCACCAGACAATATGTCTGAATGCACCAGAGCCGCACAAACAGTTTAAAACACAATCAGTCATTTGTCCTAATGAGATGAAGACGGAAATTTGCCCTAATGAGACGAACATGGAAATGGAGATTGATGACTGTTTGATGGCGAACCTGCATAATGAGCTCAAATTAATCTGCAAAGATACTTAAAGATGTTGGCTTTTTCGAAAATTAGGGAAGTTGTGATTATATAACCAATTTAGAGATGCTAAAAAATGTGGATTCATACATTAATCGTTTAGATGGTGACTCATACAGAGTACAGAACTGTGTATTCAGAAAATCTCTGCCTTCCAGTGAATGGATGACTTAATCACAGAAAACGGTATCTTTCTAAATGGTTAAAATTCAACCTTGTAAACCTATGGCCTAAATGGTGCAGTGACCTAGTTATATAGCTTGTTCTGAGAAAGGGCCTTTTACCTTGCCGGTGGCCCCGTGGGACACAAACTGAGCCCCCTCCTTGCGTGCGATCTCGACCTGACGACGGGCGATGCAGGGCCTCGCTATGGCCGTGCCCAGAAGGTACCGGTCCTCGTACACGGCGTTGGCCTGAACCGACGGCCAGATGAAGTCTTCCACAAAGTCGCTGCGCAGGTCCTCAATGAAAACCTGGTCGTGAACACAAATCAGGCCTCAAATAGCTTTATTTTGTAATTAAATAGAGGTTAATAAATATATGAGACGTTGTCGTTTTAAGAAAAAACATGAGTGTTTGGTGTGATTTTGGAAAAAATGTAGACAAAATAACATTGATTACAATTATTTATATCCCTGTAACACCTAAATATCATTTGAGATCTCATTCAAACACAGTACACGCTGCAGCTGCTTAGTTTTAATCTGCCTCAACGTCTCTTATATTCAACCAAAGGGTCTCACTTCAGAGTCTCTCACCTTCTTTGCGCCGAGGCTTTCTGCTTTCTTCCGCGCAGCTTCAAAATCTTCATCTTGTCCAATATTAGCCTGGAATGAGACAACTGAATTTAATATAACGCCTTTTTAAAACAAATAATGAAACTTTTAAATTAAATTAATAATAAAGAGGCACAATAAACACATTGATATGTGCACTAAATGCATCAACACACAAGCCCTCGTGTCCATGCATAAGTTAATTGTGTTCATTCATTCTTCTTGTAAGTCAAAGCACATCTTCAGAGGAGATAAAACAACCTCTTGACAGATGAAGCGAGAAATAAACATAAATTAAGAGTATGTCTGAGCAAGAAGGCCCCAGAAAAAAATAAATAAAAATAAAACATAACTAAAATAATGGAAGCATTTCAAACTATATATTTTAATTTGCATGAGTTATTATGAACATGAGTGAAAGCACAAATTAAAAACAGAAAACATATTTACATCACAAATGACTGATAAAACCTAATTTGTGCTTGCTCTTGCACACATGAATAACTTTTCCCATAATAATAAAACAGGGTAAATTCAGCCAGTGATCCCCATTTTGTAAAATGAATCACATCCAACCAAGCAGGAAGAGCCGCAGGGTAAATCCTGACGTTCAACACGATTTGCAATATGTCAGCAAAATACTAACTTAAAAAAATAACTGCTGATTAATAATAATAATATTCCATATATTATTCAACATGCGCTTGATTCAATACATTTCTCTCCACTAATAGGTGATATCTTTGTAAGTCTTTTTGCACCACTGCATTGCACACACGTCCACCTTAATCCTGCACCTCGTGTGGTGCTGATCACCTCCCACCCCCATTTAGCAAACCACAAAACAAATGAGCGAAGTTCAGCAAGAAAATCTGCCTGCATAGCAGTTCTTAGTTACCCCGGGGGGCAAACAGTAAAGCCATCCAGACATAGCCTAGCACAAAAGACAAATCCAATGATCAGAGATAATCAGTGCTGTTGTCTTTTTGGAGACGTGCCTACAGTCAACTTCTATGTGCCTTGACAAAACGCATTAGCAGCAGACCGTAAAACCTGAGAGGTACTTGACATACAAAAGCAGCTGGGTGACAGATGGAGCCACTTGCTATGGTAACACCTGTCGTAAAACCTTACCAAATATGTGATGACGTCATAGCCCTGCTCCTTGAGCCACACCAGAATACAGGACGTGTCCAGTCCACCGCTGTAGGCCAGAACCACAGTGCCTTTAGACATGATGAGGGATCTCTGGGTCAAAAGCTGCAAAGCAACAGTGGAGTAGACTATCAGTCACATAATATCATACAGAAAACTAATTAGTCTGAACTGTGAGCAGACAGGTTTATTTGGATACTTTAGACATTCAAAAGTAATTAGTTTGTAATTAATTGACAGCACAATCAATCAAAGAAAAAAATAATAATTCTGCCTTAATCCCTACTTCTTCTCTAGATGGGACATTAAATATAGCAACAAAATATGACACAAACTTTAAACTTATACGTGATATTAAATCTTAACCTAGATCCAAAAGGGAGAAGTTTTAGATGAATGATAACTCAACAGGTGGTTTCATAAAAAGACAAGGAGCGTTGCCTGCTAATGAGAAAAAAATATGTCAGAAAGAAATACATATCATCTATGGATATTTTCCAGTTTCCGTGTGCTTTTTTCCTCCTGCTTTGTTCGGTTTTAAGATGAGCCACAGAACGTGTTTTGCAGGACTTTCTTCTTCTTTTTTTTTTTTTAACACATCACGTTTATAAACGACAGCCATATTGGGTTGCCATAACACTGAAATGACAGGAACAGCATTTAAATGCAAAACATACAGACACGCAATTAAAGTGTACTTACGGAAGAAGTCAATGATGAATGAATGAATGACTGAATGGTACGAGACGACGTGGTCCGGACACTGAAAGGCGAGGAGCAGTAGCGCGTTTGGTTCAACGACTGATACTGGCTCACTCCACGCTGCGTCACTAAGATCGTGCTCGTGACGTCAGAATCAGTTAACTGCCCTTCATCCGTCCCCTCTACAGAAATTGTTTATATAAAAAAACATATTGTAAATTAATACAATACCCAAATAATTTTGGGTTTTTTTTGTGTGTGTGTTTAATCTTTTATTGTTCTGTATGTATGTTTTTTTCTTTTAATGCATTTTTATGGGATACAGACAGTCTTTCGTAGCACTAAGTTTAGCTGTGTTTATTCTGAAGCCTTTATAATTAAAGTCGATATAACATTAGAAATGTTATATCGACTGTTAAATCTCTACCATGTGCAGAAAGATTAAGTTAGTTACTATGCAACATTATGCTGTGGGAATGCTTTTCTCTTAGAAACAAACTGTTCATAAAAACCTAGATGGTTCTGATCACAGGAAAATTCCATCAGAAACCAATTAAAAACTGCAGCAAGGCTTAAAACAGGGTTTTTTTGTTTTCCAAACGACAAAGTTTGGTTCATTTTCACCAGAGTTATTGCTGCACATTTGAGTTCATCACTCTGGATCCAAAGCTGGACACACATGGCACTTGTTGCTAAAGTTAAGCAGGACAATATTACAAGCAAAGGTAAAAATCTCACCCGTCAACATTTTTCTGTTTCTGCAAGCTGCTACTCAAAGAAAATAAAGGTAAAGGTAGAACCTAGATACATCAAGCCTTTACAACTAACCGTGTAACATTTTTAACTAAAGTAATGTTTGGTAGTGATAAAGATGCAATTCACTCTGGGTGATTTCTGATGGCATTTGGTGTATGTAAAAATTAGTCTTCTCAGTGGTGCGTTATTTTTGTCACAATTTTGTCAACTTGAGGCCACAAGATGAAGAGTTGGTGAGGTTATAAAAAGCAACATACAGTCTTTCCCATTATGATAACAGTCATCAACTGTGTTATGTGGAACAGTGAAACAAACGTTAACTCGTGATCAGCATAATTTCAACTTTCTGCCATTATTCATTGCATTTAGATTTTTTACAATCTAAATATGCCAAAACCCTGGCTGCAATTTTAAATCAATCCGTTTTAAACCTGAATTAATCTGATGTCAAATTAATCAACAAAATTTATCCTGTTATATTAAGTTCACCAACATTTACCAAGGTCGTCCAGTAGAGGTCAGTATTTGTTAGACAAAATCTTTTTATTACACCCACAAAAATTGAGAATTTGACTAAAGATATTTTTTTGCTAAAAAAAACAACAAAAAAAACACCTTGTGTGGTGCATTTGTGGATAAGTTAAAACCCTCTGGTTTTTAAGAAAACAACTTTGATCTGGTCTTTATATTTTGAATATTTATTTTTTTTTCGCCATAAGCTTCCAAAATCAAAAAAGAAAAGAAAAAAACAAAACAAAAATACAATATAAACTTCTGAAAATCAATACACTGAATACTTTTAAAAAAATTTCTCACAGGGTAAGAAACACTGAGCAAAGACAGTCTATGTGTCTAGTGACTGAGCTCAGTCTTCCTCTCTGCTCTACATCTCAGAATATGATGCTTCACAAACGCCGAGCCGCCCTCTCCGCCATTATAATTCACTTTGTAAAGTCATACACAGTTCACTAAATAGGCATTTTGCCAAAGACAAACAGTACAAAGTGACCGCTAAGTCTTGGCGTTGACAACTGTGAGGTTTTCCAACAAATGATGTCTGCAATCCACCACTTAGCATATAATGCACACTTTACCGTCTCCACACAAACAGCTGGCAGTCAGACGAGACTGAGTGTGTACAAATGTAAAAACCACTATAGTGCTGGAAATTGGAAGAAAAAAACAAAAGCAAGGGGGAGATGGAAAATGGAGTCTTGTATGAGAGGCTTGTTGGAGTCTCTCATACCCCTAATAGCCGAACTTAAATATAAACAGAAACAAAAATTGGCATCAATGAAGGAGCCAAATTGCTGGACCATGTCTAATCTGCCCGTTTATTCAGAAAAATATCAATATTGATTTATGATCATTTATGACATAACACCTGCAAAATACAATGAATCGTTTTTATTTCTCTAAACATAGAACAAACATTTAACCGTTTTTTTGTTGTTTTTTTGCTGTATTTTAAAATAAACGGGCATTTTTATTCTTACACACATTGAAGGCTGAGGTTTTGAAAATAAAAAGGTTTTTTTTTTTAATTAACCAAAAAATATTAGCAGTTGGGACAAAAAAACAAAACAAAAAAAAAAACAAGAAACAAAGAAATAAACTGTCCACTGATAGTTGAGGTGTTTTCCCCCCACAACAAGCTGTGTATCCCCGCGGGCAGAACAGCCAGAGAGGGAAGGTCTCTGTGTCCCATGGTGGCGGGGGGCCGTCAGATGTGCTGCATGATTCTCTCGCTCTCCCTACCACTCTTTCTTCTTCTCGTCCATGGATACGCCGCCGGGGCCGAGCGCCACCACCAGCAGCAGGCCACCGATGACCGAGGTGGTCTGGAAGAAGTCATACTTGAGGAAGTCGTGCATGGGCTTGTAGGCGGGGATGGTCCAGAAAGCGTTGAAGTACACGTTGATGGCAAAGAGCCACACGACGAGGGTCAGGGCCGCCAGCTTGGTTTTGAAGCCGATGGCCACCAGGATGATTAAAGCCGTCCCCACCATGTTCTGCAGGATCTGCGGCAAAACGGGAAGGAGTTAAGCTGAGGAACAGCTGATTGGATCGCAACCAGGCGATATTTGGCGGAGTGTCTATTTACCAAAGTGTCTATATTTTTTTCTACATTTCCGAATGCAAATAATAATACTACCAATTTCCATTCTATGTATATCCATCACTTTAAGTTTTTAACGAGTTACACAAAAGACCAACTCCTGTAATCTGGTTTACTTTTGCAGACTTATTTAAAAGAAAAATTCAAAATATTCCAAGTATACAGCCTTCATCATAATTTTTACAACAAAAGGAAAGTTTGTCAAGATTCAAGGCATTTTAGCTGAAGACTAAATTAGTCATAAATAAATGCCACTTTCATATAAGTGATACTGGAGGCAGACCTACAAACTTCAGAAAATTGACCCATTAAATGTCTTTAAACTCAAACAATTTACAAGCTGCCATTTATAATTCAGAAGGTTGAGGATAATTTTGTCCTTGTTTGGCTTTAACCTTGTTGAGATTAGTCTGACAACTAAATAAATGACCAACACTGCTTTCCTCATCCAGCCCTTTTCCATGGTGGACATTTTGAATTGTCAGAATCCCAAAGAGGAAGTTTAGCTTTGGTCCACATACTATGCAAACTAGCAGACGTGTAATGCTGCTCAAATTATTGCACCACCTAGTATGTGTTTACTAATTTTACACCTGGGAGCAAAACTTCAATTAGATTTAGGCAATCTAAATGCTGTTCGCAAACCCTTTTGAAAATAAATCTACAACAACACAAGTTATAAAGTGAAGAACCATTTTTGTATCTGTGTTAATCTGCAGCTGATTAAAAAGAGATTTCTAAACACTGTTGACATCGTTGTCTGGGGTTTTCTCTGTCCAATTAAATATGGTGTAAGAGGATTAAATAGCAGCAGGTCTGCTTGCCTAAATAGGTGCTGGGTCTCAGAACTTACAGAGAAGAAGTTGGAGTCAAAGTGCAAGAGAGTCATGAACATGAGGACCAGCAGCACTCGGCCGCCGAGCTGCATGTACTGCTTCGGCGAACTCTCCCCCATGGAGGGGACGCCAGCGAACATGCTCTTCCCCTCCGAGCGCGACTCCGCCAGCAGCAGCAGCAGACCGCCTCCCAAGGCCAGGTTTCTACCAGGAGGGGAGAGAGGAGTTTTAGTTTGGAGCACCAAACAGAAAAAAAATATATATATTACCTGTGTTGAATAAGGCCACACCGAAAGTACCAACTGAGCCATCATCTCATTGCAGTCTTTATGTTGCATGTTTGTTCCTCCGGTGGCAATTTTCTGCCCACCAGCTTAAACATTACATGACTCATCTGATGGTTAGCAATTTGACTTTATCCAGGCAACACATGAATTATAGCATGTGCAAACAGAAAGACTCAGACGCAGCCCTAAAGGTGTCTTTGCACACACGTTCAGTTTATCAGCGTCTAAATAAACAAGCCCCAACTAGACATGGGTTGCATGTTACTGCAGAAATTAAGATTTAAAACAAGAAATAGATCATTGACAGAATGATTTAAAAGCTTGTTGCAGAGAAGCTAAACTCTTTTTGACATTCTGCTCCCTAAAGAGTAACACATCAAGACTAAAAAGCTGCTGGTGGTTGGTTAATTAGTGGACAAACAGTTGGTAACTTGCCAATTATACATTTATTACAGGATTATCCAAGTAAGAATGATGTTCCATTTATCTAGAGGGTAATGTTGTCACCCTAACACTTTTTAAAACCAACTTTGGTAAGTTAAAAAGACCAGTCTGTACCCAGTCCTTATTGTGTTAAATATGGTGAGTAGACCTTGAGGGTTGTGTTTGAAAATAGAGACATTTTCTTTATTTCAGTCCAAAAGTTGACTGAAAACGTTTTCTTGAACGTGATGAGACCTCAGTCTGATTATTGATCCGATTTCAATCCAACCCTAGCATATCGAAGGTCAGAAGTTTTACCGTTATTTGGACTTTAATCGAAACTTGAGAACGAGTGACTCTACATACTAGCCTGACACAGAGGAAACAAAATAATGGACAATCTGAAGTTTGATACAAAAATGGCGACACCTACCTCATCAAAAACTTGAGGTCCCATAAAATGCTGTATGCAACAGTCTGGTGAAGGGTAGAAATAAAGTTAGACACAATCATATTTTAGGGATTTGCTAAAAGCATCTATAATCAAAGTGTTCTCACCTGTAATGCTATGATGCCAAATAATCCAAAGCAGGCATACTGTACAAAATTTCTACTGAGAATGAGGACACAACCACCTGTTGGGACAAAGACAACAAAAGAAAAGTTAAAGCCACTCCCATGATAGCATGTCTTTTAGTTTTAACAAACCTTTGTGTGAAAAATATTCTTTTTGCAGCAATAACACAGCAAAAATAATTAAGGTCAGGCTTTCTTGTAATAGGCACTTTGGTAAATAGCAGGTTTTCTCCACAGTTCGACACCGATTCAGTTTCAGTGAACAGACAGAGCCACATGGTTACGAGAGTGATCCGACCTGCTAAACAAAATTCATTTGGTAGATAGAATATCAGGCAGCAGAGACTCGTTGTCTCCTGTTGGTTTTATTAGTTTGTTTTAAAGGCTCCGCATGTCAAAACTTAGACTGAATAAAAACAAAAAATGTTAAAGAAAGAGGACTTCAAACTTTAACTAATAAAAATACTTAAAGCAACAGATAAATAGATTTATAGGTAGAATGAGATTATACTAAAAAAAAAAAGCATTTCTGGCATTAAAACGAGGACAAGTGTTACTAAATATTTTCGCTATTTACTTTATGTTACTACTTCAGTGCACTGTATTCTATATGTATCCGTTATTAATTTACTTTCACTGTGTATTATTGCTTTTAATGTCAATGTGCTACATGGAAGTTTATGGGTTTTTTTCCACTTTTTGAATGTTTGTTTTTAGTTGTATCTTGTAAAGCATTTAGACTGTTTTTGAACCGAAATAAACTTGATTATTGTTCATATTCACTTCACTATATGACTGTTTATTAGAAGCATTTAAGCCTTCCTTAACAATATTATTCATTCATGATGGAAATGTGAGCTTTTCTTATATTCCTACTGTTGAATATAAAAGAGCAGAAGAAACTTGTACGTGTAACTTAACCTCCATGTTTATCACAACCTACATTCACCACCTCATTTTAAAACAAAACTGTGCTTTACTTAAGTTGTATACAAGCTATTAACTTTCAATCCTATTGACATCACCTACTTTTCCCCATGTAAACTGACCTCCTTTTGTGCTTATAACATTCTTTGAAACCACAAAAAGCAGCTTCGTCCTCGCCGCACGGCGCCTCCTGACACTCACCAAGCTGTCCGACGAGGTTAAGCAGCACAAAACACGTAGCCAGGAAGTAGCCACAGTTCCAGGTGGCCTCAATGTAGTCTCTCTGCTCGTTCCACTGGAACCACATGCGGATCCCGTCTTCCAGGAACGTGCTGATGAGACACAGACGTGCCAAATGGGGCAGGTACTGTTTGGTCACCCGCAGAAACTGGAGAGCACAAAAATCAGAAGGATGAAAATGGGATTGGGTCTGTGTGGGAGTAAAAATCTGGAATATTTACAGTTTCTCACTGATTCTATTCAGTTGTGCTGAAGTAACAGAGATACAGAAATATTTGATTTAAGTGAAATGTTGGGATATTTTATCAAAGTTGGCTATATTTTGCAATATTATACACATAGGGTCAATCAATTACCTCTAGAACATCACAGTGGATTAGAGAAAAATAAAGGGATATTGTGATTTACTGATGCTTAAACTGTTACTTTAAGAGAAGCTTCAGTTTAAACAGATCATCATATATTTAAACCAAACAGTGTTCAAGTTGGAAAATTAGATAAACACCAGAGACCTTTTGGGAAAACAAAAAAAGTATTATATATATATATTTTTAAAGCTCATCATTAAGAAATGATGAATATTAGCATAGCTGTTACATGTGATACAATGTCATTAAATATCCAGGTTGTTTCTTTCTAGTTCATTTTGTAATTGTGCTCAAATGTGAACCAAAATTAGATCTTTTTGTTGAATTTTATTTATAACAAGTGGGACAACAACACTGGAGAACAAAACATCATTTGCATGAAGCTTGTAGATTGTAGAAGAATGAGAGTTTTCTGGACCGGTGGCTGATTCTGCGCTTGCCGAGAACTGAAACAAAGGCGAAAAAGCAATGTAGGTCACGGAGAGACAAAACTTTTAAGCAGTTGTGAAAAGCTCACCTGACGAAGCTTAAAATTAAACAGACAAAACACCCAAAGCTTGAGACTACATCTGGATCTACTCATTTGAAAAAAAAAAAAAAGAAGAAAAAGAAAGACAGCTACCTGGGTGGTAAATTTTTACTGTGTAGTCTTCGTGTGTACTAAAATATCTTGATCTAATCAGTAGATTAGATCATAATCAATATAAAAACAATCAGAGTGACTTAAAGGGTACAAAGGTTTTCTGAATGACAAATAAGAATGACTGTTTTTCGTTCTGCTATATTTATATAAAACATAAAATTACAAAAGCAGCAAACCAATGTATGAAAACTAATCGTTTTCCTGTAACTGAGCAGAACAGATGGTCACCTCAGACATCCATGGATGACAAATTGACTGGGGCAGGAGCAAAGCTGCCAGATTTATTCCCAACAGGTTCTCAGTAGTGTCTTCTATCGGTGTTATTCATCAATATTTATGCAATAAAAATCCTACTCTAGGCTAAAGGTTATTTAGTTAACGCACTAACATTCAGATAGTTCTCAGCAGAGCTGCAGTGACCTGCCCCCTGATCCGCCCATCTAACAGTCCACATCAGCACAGTCAGACCTCAGCGGCCTATCAACATCCACCAACTCCCACTAGCGCTGCTGTCAGAGACATGAATGGGCCAAGCTGGAGCCAATCCGAACAAGCCCAAGGTTGTTGCACAGCCTAGAAATAGACAGTTCTGAAGTGTTATGTCTGAGGAAAACCCTGGCTTAGTATTCATTCTGCAAGGAATGTACCCCTAAAATTAATTTAAACATCTCACTTTATGTATATACATCCTTGTGTCCCTTTTCATGTTATTTATGCAGTCTACAGCACTTACACAATCAGTGGGAACTACATCAGAGAGGAAATGCAGTCGACTAGCCTGCAAACAGAGTTTAGTGAACTCACATCTGCTGCAAAATGTCAAGAGCAAGTCCCCAAACCGTCCTAGTTGAACCCACACTCCAACCTAAAGGAAACTGAGCACGTTATTCTTCCTCTTATGTATATCTGAATGCAAGAGCCACAGCAAAAAAGAACTAAATTAATCTTTTCTGTAATGATTTAAGGAGTTATTACAGCTCAAACTAACGCCATTTAAAATCAGCTGTAGTTTGTAGTAAAGTTTCACAGCTAGTTTGCGTTGAAGCAGATTGATGAAGAAAGGCCACATGCAAATGCTCAGTTTAGTAAATGGTTCATATAGTCTATTAATGAAAGAATAAGAACCACAACTAGGTATTTGTGTGTGTGCGTAGAAAGATTAAGACAGAAATAAGGTGTTGACCAACACCGGTGAGATAATCCAAGTGGTTTCACAACTACATGCTGGCATAGTGAAAAAACCCAGCAATACTAAAAAACCCAACTAAAAATCAGGTAAAATCCGGTAAATAGCCAGGCAATTGTTAAATTAGTCAACAAAAGCCGCTTTCATCTGGTCAGTGTGTCTTCATAATGCTATCAAATGAGGCACATGACAGAAACAGGCATTCCTAAATACTCTCATCATTCCAATTAAAACACAAGTTAAAATCTTCGGTTTATCCAAGATTATGTTTATGGCTGTCAAAGTGTTCAAGGAAGAAGAAGAACGAAAGCTGCAAACATGTTCAAGGAAACGCTCTGAAGCCTCACTTGACTCACATGAAAACTAGTTAGCAGCTAGCGTGCTAATAGAAGCTAGCATGCTAGTAATGAAGTTACCTGGTCTGCCACGTCTTCGGCTTTGTTCATTAGGTCTTCCTGCCCCATTTTCCTCCAATATTACAGTTGTGTTTTAAAAAGCTGAGCAACACAATGTAAGGTGCCCTGGGTTCGCTTTCTCCAGACTGCGTTCCTCCCCCCGTTATTTAGTTGCGGATTTCCCGATAGCTTCGGACGGACGCAGAGAAAGGCCGCCTCCGCCCCACAATGCGCCGCGATTTGACGAAGAGCCCCCCTGCATGGTACTGCAACCTCCGTATGCCACGTATACTGAACCGGGCAGGGTCTTTTCAGCCACCCGGCATTGTTTTCATGTGAACAGGTAGATGAAGTAAACAAGTATTTATGCACAATAACCATATCAAAAATAGTTACATTCAATGTTACTTATAAACAGTAAAACTGGACATACAGAAGCAGCAACAATACAAGACTGATTCATCAAAAAATATGAAGATAAAAAAGAAAGAATAGCTACATTTTAATAGGTTGGAATATTAAAATCCAATTTGTGCAATTCAAGTGGACATTTCTGTTGATAAAGGCTCACAGCTGATGGAAACCAAAAGTATTGCAGGACATTTGACAAAATAGGCTTCCAGATTTTTTTTTCTTAAACAATGTATCATGCAGAAACTTTTGCTGCAGATTATAAAATCTTATGGAAGACTTGGTAGTTGTGCAACAGATAATCACAGACACATTCCTCAAGGAAGAAGCTGTTGATGGATTGCTTTATGCAAGTGTTAAAAAGTTAAGTGGAAGGAAAAAGTGTAGTAGGAAAAAGGTCAGTAAGCTATAAATGTATAAACTGCATATACTGTGCAGTATACTTATCAACATACCTTTCAATAGACTGACATTTCTGCATTAAAATTATTTTACTGATCATATGGTTTTCATCAACTTCAAGGTATAATCATCAAAACAGAAGAAAATGAAATATTGCATGTAATGCATCTTTATATGAATTTCAATAATAAATTACACTGATAAATTAGAGTTCCATCTAAGGGTAAGGAACATAATTTTTATTGAGAGCTTTGCTTTTTAAGTCAGTTGTCTTCACCACCAAAGACTGGTAGTAGCTTTAGCATTTCCTATCCTATCCTACAATCCCTCATAAAGACAATATACTTAAATTTAGGAATTAAGTTGTGCAGTGCTGTGTTAGTGACCCCTTCATTTAAATTAGGAGTGTGACATTAGGGAAACACGGAGGGCATGTTTGTTCTGAGGATGAGAGTTTCAAACCACTGTGTTTGCATAATGCAAAGTCAGAAATAAGCCTATAAAAATGCTTAATTTGAATGTGTTACATTCACAAAACAAGTTGCATGAAGTTAGGTAGCTGCAACGAAGGGACAAAACATACAAAAACAAATAAAACATGGCACAGTCTAAACTATGCTGTATTTATTTACAAGTGCATCAGATTAGAAATCACAAACTGACCCAGAGAAAAAAACATTTTATGTCATAAAAAACCAGCTTTGCTGACATCATGAGTTCAGAAACATAAAGCATTTCCCAAAAGTCACTTGCATCTTGAATGTACAGAGTTCAGGCTGGTTTAAATACATATTCTAACTGGATGTCAGTGTTGTCTCCTGACAGTTACCCAGCTATAAACAGAAGAAAATACTGTATGTTTGTGTTTTCACAAGTTACTTTCCATTTTGGGCTTTTTTGTGTTTCTTGTTTCTAGATTTCCACCGGTTATTTCTGAATTTCTTCTGGAAACCACCACCTTGGACCTACAACATGTACAAATGAAAAAAATTAATTTCTGGTAAGATGAACAACTAAACCATATTTAGCACTTTAACAGTTTGTTAAAGTTCTTAAAGCATCTCTCTTGTGATTTTGTGTCTGTCCTTTGGTTTTTACTTTCTCTGACGGACCTTGTGTTACACCTGGATCTACGAAAAGGTCCTTCATAATTAAGCTTGACTAACTGATACAAAATGTCAAGAGATACATTTACAAACCTTTTTGCGCTTCTGCACCACCTGTGTGTCGACTTCCATTTCCTCGTCTTCATCTGTTTGAAAGTCATGCTCCTCTTCTTCATTTTCTCCACCTGCTGTGCTTCCTACCTCTGGATTTTTTAAAGAGAACATGGAAGCTGTAGAAACACAAGAGCAAATTAAACTGATTGGCATTCACATTTTTGAGCTTAAGCACAACATAATCAGAACTTCTACTGCAAACATATATTTAAACAACATTTTGGTCCAGAAATTATTCTTGATCCATTTTCTCATTTTCTTCTGTTACCCAGGGGTTTGAACATTGCTTTAATCCATTGCCCACTGAGCTGGATGAAGAGATGGACTTATTTTCCCACTATGCCCAGCAGGACGACATCAAGGGAAGTAAAAGAAATTTCCAAAATATATTATTTAAGAACTACAACAAAGAGTGTTGAAGTTCCAAAAATGGCACCCTGGAATTGCCAGGAGATTTAAATGAAACATTTCATGAACTTTACTAAAAGGAAACAAAATGAACTGCAACAGGCCAAGATCAAGAGCTCAAAAAAGAAAGGAATCCAGGAATGCCAATAATTTGTGCCACTACTTTTTTGATCAGTTATTTCTCAGCATTAGATTTTCCCATCAACAGATAAATATTCTTAAAGTGTTGATATTCAGGGAACAGTTATGCTGCTGCAACAAAAGACCATCTTGTGCCAATAAACGCAACTGCGACAGCATGTACTGACATGGGTAGAGGTCGCTCATGCTGTCTTCCGAGTCGCTGTGTTCTCCCTCACTGGATGAAGGTTCCCACATGCCGTTAGGTCGTCTTTTTGAGGACTGACTCATTTCTTCTCCTGTGCTTTTGGGCTTCTTCTGTTTCAGTCTGGCTGGAACAAACTCAATTCCCTGCCGCGTACACTCCTCATCTGCAAGCACAAGAAAAACTCGTCATTTACTATGCTATTGCTCAGCTTTTCATTCAAATACAAACTCATGTGCCAGTCTGTCCTGCTACATTTTTGTTTTTATAATTTGCTCACAAGTACTCTGTTTTTTAGGAGATACAAGGAAGCAACACATACAAATATCCTAATAAGGGTTTGATTTTCAATCACACCAATGGGCCAAAATACACTGCTCAAAAAAAATAAAGGGAACACTCAAATAACACATCCTAGATCTGAATGAATGAAATATTCTCATTGAATACTTTGTTCTGTACAAAGTTGAATGTGCTGACAACAAAATCACACAAAAATCATCAATGGAAATCAAATTTATTAACCAATGGAGGCCTGGATTTGGAGCCACACACAAAATTAAAGTGAAATGTTCCCTTTATTTTTTTGAGCAGTATATATTTTCGAAAGAGCAGAGTAATAATGATAGATTTCAGCAAAAACACATCCTCCTCCTCAGCATCATCAGATAACTTAAACTTCCTTCCTGAATGATTCAAAATGTATCTTTTTGTCTTGCCACAAACTCATACAAAGCACCATGCATGTAAATAAGTGATACACTGACATTGAGAAAGGGCTTTTTTGAAACGTTTCCCACTGACGTGTCTTAGGACATGATCTGGCTGCCGGTTGAGATGTTTCAGGGTCAGTTTGCAGAAGAGTCGATTGCTAGAGAGCAGGACAGATCAGAAAATGTGATCCAAGTGCAGTTTATACCAAATAAGCACCGCGTAAATGCCACAAAATAGTAAAGCAACACAAACAAGAGGAAATCTTACGGTTGCTTCGTGCTTGATACAATGTGTGGCTCATACTGGCTGTAGTTGAACTCTGCTTCTGCATTCAGTTTCTTATATTTCTTTCCTTGGACAAAGGAGTGCAGCTCCGCCAGGCTGCAGGGCAACTCGTGTCCATTTAGGGTGCACTTGATCTGCAAACAAACGTTAACTAACATTAAAAATCGAGCAAACAGCTGCATTTGACTAAACAGGCAAGTTAGCATGCTGCGACATCACGTTGTACAAGTACACGTGTGTTTTAAGTGATATTTAGTGGATTTCTTGTGAACCTTTTTGCCATCTGTGAGCTGGAAAAAGGGGTGATTAGTTAGAAATGTTCTGATATCCGCAGGTAATTCATCCATCTCTGAAAAACACTGTCAAACAAATCCCAGCGTGTTGTGAGGAAGCCACCTCCCAAACAGGAAGCTAACGACACGTGGTTTGATGTTTGTCTGTGTTTCTCCGTGTCAGCGCCCTCTACTGACCTAAGTCAGAAAGGACAATCTTGTACTCCGTTTATTTAATTTAGGAGAACATATTTAAATAAATATGCCATTAGATTTTTATTACAGTTTTTAAAAACGTCGATATGTCTTTGTTTCTAAATATTTAATTGTCATAATGTCGGCATTATGAATTTATTTGGCCAGTACTGCTCTAGTTATTGGTTTAGCTGGTTTGAAGTGTTATACTGGTTAACCAATGAGATGACAGAGGTCCATTAACGGCAATGTTATTTTATAATTATTTCCATGCTCAGATATTTTGAATATTGTAGAACAAATTAATTTTATTTATTTATTTTTGTTTTTACTTAGAACGAATTATTCCACTTATCAGTTTGCATCGTAACTTTAACATAATTCAAAATTGTGAAATAACTAGATTTTATTTTACTGTTTGATTGTATCGTATTTTTATGACTTATTTGTGCACTTTATTAATCTAATTATAATCTAACTTCTAATAATTTAACAAATTTGAGTAATTATCGATACACTACCTGTATTTATATCTATAACATATATAATAAATAATTAATTACCAAATTATTTATAACATGTTTGCATGTTTAAAACTTGACAGTAAGAGGCTTTAGGCAGAGCTTCAGGTCAGCTGACCTGACAGCTCAGCTTCAGAGAGTAGTAGAAGTAAGAGTGTTCACTTCGTACATCTTTTGCGAAACTATGAACGGTATTGTAAAAAAAGAAAGAAATCACTTCCATAAATGTAAATGAATTCAAGTAATTTTTGAGTAATTGTGAGTTTTCTATATCTATTTTTGGGAAACGATTAAGTATATGTTTGATTAACTCTTGAGTAGAAAATTCCTGCGGAGTGAGTCCTCTTGTTTCGCTCTGAAGTGCTGCCCATTATTTTCCCACAATTCATTGGGTCGGTACACAAATATTAGACGGCTGGTTGGTCCGATATACGGGGCTTGTTTTTACTTTTTTCTTGTAAAACACTGATATAATCCATAAACAACCTTAGAGCATACATCAATAATCGAAGTCCTTGTTAATTCAGATAAATTTAACCCAATCAACTCCGAATAACAGTGTCTTCACTGATGACAGTTCCTGCTAGCTGAAGGTTAGCAGCAATAGTTTTGCTTTAAAGCTAATAAGGGAAGGATTTTAAAAACATGTCTGGACCAAATGGAGACCCAAACATCTCCAGTGAAGATGGCATCATCAACGACGACGACGAATATGGCGATGAAGGTAACACTCGCTGATTAATACAAAATTCAGCGGACAACGAGCCTCAATTTAATGTTTAACACATTACTTGTCTCTTACTTTGCGCTACTTATGCTACATTCTGCTTTAAAACATTTCGAGAATAATGTAAAAACTGGAACTTTATAAGAGGTTACAAAACGTCCTCAAGGTGGACCTCTAATGGGCCAGTGTTCAAGCTATTTGAAAATTGTCCTGAATATGCCACACTCACACAGTGAAGCTTCATTTATGTGCTACTTTGTGTTTCGTCTTTCACACAAAGTACCATAAAATGGACTAAAGTCGTGGTTCCATCATAAAGTTTAAGTAAATAGTCTTTGTTCTGTGCTGTTTATCTACAGAATACGCCGCTATCAACAACATGCTAGATCAAATCAACTCCTATCTTGATAACCTAGAGGAGCGCAATGACGCGCTTAATGAAAAACTGCACGAACTGCTGGAGTCAAATCGGCAAGCCCGTCTGGATTTCAGGGCGCAGCTAACTGGCTCTCCAACCCAAGAAGAGCATCACGCACTGGAGCAGGAATCCTCTTTACCAAGCGAACAAGACCAACATGAAGAAAATCAATGACGAGATCAAATAAATGTGAAGACAAGGACAGAGATGATCAAAGTGAATTAAGAGTTGCTATGAATTCTGGTTTCCCCTGACAAACTTGGAAAATACAATCAAATTTGTTGCTGCTCTAAAAAGATGCATCTACTCGGAATACCTTAGTAGCAAACCAAGATTCGTCCAGATATCAGCTCAAGTTAGATCCTGTTGAATATTAACCATGCTTCAGGCTTGTGTGTGTGTGTGTGTGTGTGCGTGCGTATATATATGAAAATAATTGTCTATTTTGTTCCAAGATTTAGTGTAAATATTTAATTTCTCTTCAGCACCATCAATCTACTGTCCCTTAACTCATTTCATATGTGTAAGTTTAAAGAATTAAAATGACATCAACACATTGTGGGAATTGTCAGACATTTTAATATAAATTAAGATTACTCTGAAACAGAAAACAAACATCCAAAAATACAATAAACTTCCAGCAGTTAAAAAAAACATCCCCTGGTTGTTTCTCAATTTGTCAGTAGCTGAATAAAAATACCATAGGAAACGTACAGCTTTATTCAAAACTACCATCTATGCATTTCTCTCTCTCTCCCCTGAACTATTCAGGTTTGACGTGTTAAGAGTAAAGTTCAGCGCACATCTTTATTCCTTCAGAAATAAAGAAAAACCCAAAATGCGACAATCATCAGACTCATCGCCATGACTACAAAAGCTGCTACACATGTCAGTTTTTTGTGTGTGGTTTTAGATATCCTAAACTAGTATGGAAGATGAAATGTTTCCAGAACAGAAAACCAGTTAAAAAGGGAAGTGACATGTCCTCCATTTCAACATTTGCAGCTACTCACTTGTGCACCCTACAGTATGTAACTAGTACTTCAAAAATGTTGACAGTTTGCAGCAACTTCTTGTTACACAAACATTTCATGAAGAAAAAAAAAATTCAAATGCATTTCTATGAAAGGAAAATGGAACGAGGGGAAAACTTTAATCAACTACTGCAAACTATATTGTGCTGTAGATGCTCATAGTTGCCTTCAATAATCAATGGGAACTTCATAAGGAGTAAATGTGACACCAACTGGGACTCTGAATGAAATCCGTCTCTGGGGCCAGGGTAGTTAAAATGTGGATTATTAACATCAGCTGAAATATTTCAGCATGAAATGTCATGATCTAAATTCAGATTCAGACTGGTGTGAAGCCTTCGATCTTGTGAAGCTGTTGCTGATCTTTTTTTCTTTTTTTACTGCGTTAAAGTAGCCCTGGTTTGGTCAAAGTTTTTCAGGTGTCCACAAAAACACAACTATTTCAAAACGCTACAGATATGGCCTACTTTTGCTCCCCAAAACGTTAGCAGAAGGGAAAATGAATGTGCTGAATCTTAACTATGGAGCTGATCCAACAGTCTCAATCCAAAGTGCAACTTTAACACTTTTAAAAACAACCTCAACTTGTTGAACTGTTCATGCAAGACCACATTCCAGCTTACTAAAAGCTATTTTGAGGTGAAAAATGTTTTCACTTCAACCATCGATATGGACTCTGACAATCATGTGACAATCAAGGTGAAGGTATGCACTCCCTGGTCCCCTGGCCTGAGGACAGCAGGGAGGACCAGTGTACATCTTTTGTTGCAGTTGACATCATATTGTTTTTATGGCCTGAGGAAATTGTTACACTTCACCTGAAATCTAAGTGAAATTTCACCTCTGGAATTTGAAGTCAAAACTACAAGCCCTACTTCTGCACAACCTGTACCTACTTTAACTTGCAATGTGTAGTTAATACAGCGAGTAGCAATGCTTTTTTTATTTTTTTTTTTAAATTTGACTTCAGAATAATACAATCCAGTTTCAAACTGCAAAACAATGTTGTTCTCCCTACCGTTTCAGTCTGCATAAAACCCTTGGCGCAATGTGCCCAAAAATGCCTGTTACAATGTACTATAGCGCCATCTACTGGTTAACTACCAAGAGGATCTTCTCTGTAGCTCATTTTAGATTGTAGTGACATTAGAGTATGGCTTACAAATAAAATTCAAATTATTATTTTATAGCCAAAAGAGCCTAATTCACAACTGATGGCAAAAGCCTCCATTTAGGAACTGTTACTTCCCCACTCTGAGGAGGGGTCTTCTACCGTTTCCACTAGCCAGCCTTCCTGGTTTTTGGTGTGATTCCCTTACACTTCCCAGTAAGGAGAGCTGAGACTACAGTCCCATAGTTGCAAAACATTACATGGTTTCATTCCTACATGGTGTTTCGGACTCAGCGTCTGTTTGCGGCTCTCCCCGACCGTCGTTTGCCTACGCTTCTTCCCTTTCCTCCGCAGTTCTTTTTCCCAGGCCCAGCAGGAGCTTCCTCCTCCTCTTCCTCCTCTCCGTTTGAATCCCCAGCAGCAGCAGCAGCTGCAGGCGCCGAGTCTGCCTCCTTTCTACTGACAGCAGCCGGAGGAACTGGACTCTCCTCGTGGTCAGGACTGGGCTGCTGGCTGAAGTCCAGCGAGATTGAGGCGGCCTCTGATTCCTTCTCTTTCAGCCGATCTTCCTGCGTTGTCAGTTTGGTCAGTGAAATCGATTTCGTAGAGTTTAGGCCGTCGGCTTCACTCGTGTCAATAGTGAGCAAATTTTCTTGTGAACAGTCTGACGCTTCTGTGGCGGATCTGAGGCCGTCTGCCGCTCTGATGGATTTTGTTGAGGCCGGAGTGTCTTCACCTTTTTCTCCAACCATCGCTTTGTAGCTCTGTGAAGCAGAAGAGAGAAGAACATTCACCCCAATAATCCAAAAATCAAAGAATTTGGGTCACACCTGGTGCTAAACAGCCACAGCTTGTTGTTCATTTCTTAAATAAGGTAATGGGAGCACCTTAAGGTTCTCAAAGTGCTGCAGTGACTTGCAGTGGCTGTGCAGAGCAGAAGATTCGAAGAGGTAAAACTTGTTGCAAAGCCTGCAGAGGAAGCCTGCCACTGGATCCAAGAAACTGGATCCATAGATGGTGTCGGGGTCATACTGCTCATCGCTGGTCATGTCGTTTAGGGCCACCTCTTTGGCGGAGGGCCAGCCATCCTGTCAAAGCGAAAGGTTCATCTTACTAAATTAAGACGGAGCTAAAATCTCTGCTGATTTTGAAATTATTGTGAATTTCACCTCGCTGCTCCCTTGGTCTCCTTCATTCTTCTCCAATTCCTGTGCTTCCAGCTCACACGAAAAACCATCTGTGCCCATGTTGGTGAGCTTAGTCAAAGTCTCACAGCCTTTTTCCTTGATCTGGTAAGCATCAACAAAAACACAAGTGTTTGCAACAATGTAGCATGGTAAGTAACAGCTTACATTTTAATCCTATAAAACGACTCAAGGTGGGTTTGATCTTACCTTCTGCTTGTGCTCCTGAGAGTGCAGGTGCTCTATAAAGTTCTGTGAGGTTTTGAAGCGCTTCTGACAGACGGCGCAGAAGGACAGGTCAGTTTTACTAGCAAGCTGCGGATATAAAAAAAGAAAAAGAAAAAAAGAAGTAGCAGATTCTTGTTAGACCAACAGTTTTCTAACATCCACGGTGTAAATTTACTTGCCTGAGATTTACCTTGTGTTCCTCTGAGCGATGGTGGTCCGAGATGCTACTGGTGAAGTGGGTGTGGCAAGTACCACACCACTGCTTCAGATCTGCTTTTTTCTCTCTGCCGTGAACAAAAAAAAAAAAAAAACATCACACGAAGACAATAGGTAACAATGACATGAAGGAAAAATAAAAGGCTATAAGGTTTCTCTGCATTTAAAACTGACCCATCTTTGCTGGCGCCCTGTAGAGACTCCTGCACTCGGGGGAGCAGAGTGACCAGGCAGGCGTTGCTCATGTGTTGGATTTCCATCATCCTCTGCTGGTGGGAAATGCTGTTCATGTGACTCCTGAAGTTCTACAGGCAGAACAGATCGGACTTAAAAGACAGCTCCACAGAGTGTTTCTTCCTTGGCAAAAATCTCAATCTAGTGTTTTGTGTGTGTGTGTGTGTGTGTGCATTCCACCTACTTGCTGGTTGAAGCAGGTGATGCTGCAGAGGTAGCAGTAGAACTTGTTTGAACCCTCGGATGCTTCTTCTTCATCCTGGCTATCTGGGAAACCCAGTGAGGCGTCTTTGTCCTGCGCGGCCTCCTCTGTTGGTTCACTCACCTGCTCGGTATCTTCAGCCGGCCCGGCAGACGGTGACGGGGCTGGCAAACCCCCGCAGGCCTTTGGAAATACAGAGAAAATTATACTAGCTGATAACAATCAGCTTGTTTCAAAAGAAAGACCTGTATTTTTCCACACTGAAATTCTATTGTTTTCCAGACTACATAGCAACTCGGTTCTCCCTGTGTGGCATCAGCCGCTATTTCAACACGCTGCCATAAATTCATGTCATTATATTGTCTTCATCTTGTGTTGAGCTTTTCTTACATTATCAGCTTTGTTCTCCTCTATTGCCACGTCGTCCGGCCCCCCGCTGAAGCATTCATCCTCCTGAATGACGCAGTCTAGGAAAAGGCCAGAAGACAGAAATATATAAATACTGAGCTGATAACATTATATCAAGATTTGCATTAAGAAACTATGTTTTATTTGGTGTTACCTTCTGACTGGGTGTCCACTGTGTTGCTGTTGCTCTCTGATTGAGCCGTTGTGACCGACTCGGTCACATGTTGCTCTTTAGGTTCCTCTGACCTGAGAAAAAAACCCAAAACAAACAAACAAAAAAAAAAAAAAGAAAACACATGAAACTTTAAATGTTGAGATCTTATGATGAGTCAGAAAGCCCCTTATATTTTACACTGCAGTGAAACAGCAGTGTCCAATTCATTTTTCATCAATGCAGAAGAAAAATAGCTGCTCGCTGCACTGCAATCCCTTTGTCATACCTACAGTTTACATCTTCTCAGCATAAAAATGGAAACCGTTTCCCTACAGAAGGATGTTAGAGTTTCCAACTGAGTAACAAATAGTCATGTTTCCTTGGGGATATGGAAATACATCACACTTGCTCTGCCCAATATGGAGAGAGCCACTGCTATGTTTGAAATGTAATCACACAACCTTTAGAATGATGACATAATCATAAGCAAAAACATGTAGCAGAATGGGAGGTATGTGCACAGCACCACTGGAGAAAAACTATGGAGATGTTCACATTTCACACGAGGGAAAACCTACTAGAAAAGTCTTTCTTTGGTTGTAAATGACACTAAATCTCAAGGAACATTTTGTTATTATTTTAAAGATATCATGACGGATGCATAAAGAGCACCTAAGGGTGGTGCTTTGTTACTTCATCACTTTCAAACTCTTTTAGTGTCTCGGGATGCAGGGTGAATGAAACCACAATAGTTCACCAAATATTGTATTGTTATGATTGCAGTATTAAACACGTGGATGTCAAGATGATGGTTGTAACTTGGTTCAATGCTAGGCTCATTTAACTGCTAGAAATGCTTCTTTTTTTGTTACTGTAATTTGTGTAGATACTTGATTTAGGACTATAATACACAAACTTCTGTCTAACCCAAAATAGCCATGAAACTGACTGTGAGAAACAAAATCCACAGCGATATTATTCTGTTTTAGGGTATTCATAAACCTTTTAGCTTGCAGTAGCAACTTCACCTGCCTGCTGTATTCAGTATTTGCAGAGGTAATACATTTATTTACATACAGTGTAATGAATAAGTAACATTTCTAGGAGTGAGATAAAAAATGTTTGCGTACCCTTCTGTCTTCTGCCGCTTTGACACTGGTTCTTCAAGCTGCTCCTCAGAGGTCTGGCTATTTTCTCCGCCCACAGCACCATCTGTCAGGGAGAAATTTATAGACAAATACATCCTTACCACCTAAGCATGGGCTTTGTGCCATTTCACTGTACACACCATATTAAGCAGTCACCATGGCAGCATGAATGTACCT